CTCATAGTGAACTTTTTTTTTTTTTTCTCCATCTAATGTACTATTGATCAATTATTAAATCATAAATCACAGAGATGATACATATTCCCTTAACAAAACTATTAAACCTCTCCCAGTGCAATTTAGTAGGAATTAAATCTAATTGATCAGAGAACTAAGTCATACTTATTCAAATCATTACCATAGTTAAACCAAGTTTTCCAACCAAGTCCCCTCTTTAGTAACTATAAGTTTAGTTGGGAATCCCCACCGATATTTTAGATCTTTTTCCCTCAAACGCAGAGTAGCTGAAGTAAATTGTTTTCTCGCTTGCCTTGTCTGGAAAGACAGATCTGGAAACACTTTTATTTCTTTAAATTTGCCTTGTTCTCTTTCCGTTTGTCTTGCTGCTTTTAAACATTTTTCTCTAAATGAGTAAGAGTGGCAAGCGATAATTATATCCCTTGGGAGATCTTCTGGAAGTGTTCTTGGTTTATTTAACCGGTGAAATCTTTCAAGAAAGTCCTTTTTATCGTCGATGTTGATTTTAAGAGCTTCAAAAAATTCTGCAAGAAAATCTGCCAAATTGCCTTGTGAAATAGATTCTGGTATGTTTCTTATTCTTAAGTTTTTTTTCCTTCCTCTATCCTCTATATTAGTTGTTCTCTCCTCCAGTTCATTAATCCTCGTTTGTTGTTTCTCTATGCATTCATTTTGCTTCTATAGGAGAAATTCCAAATTTTCTATTTTCTGTTCATTTATTTTGACTTTTTGTCCCGTATTTATTATTTCCTGCTTTAAGTTTGCAAAATTCCCCTGCATTTCTAATTTTATTTGTTCCAATTGTTGATCTAAACATTGTTTTAGATATGCTTGAGTGATCGTTAATTCCTCTGGAGATTCTTGTACTTCTGTCTCCTTTAATTCACCTGTGTGTTTATTTAAAGGCATTTTGTTTGGCGTGGAAGTCGAAGAAGATTCCAAAGTACTTTTATCTGCTGGAGCATTAAAAAAATTTGAAAGTCTCTTTTCCTGTTTTTCTCTTTTTTCGCGGTCTTTTTTTGAAAGAGACTTCAACTCCTGTTTCTGATTTGCAGCTTTCCTTGTTGTCATTATATTTCTTTTTCCTTTTTCCTTTTCTCCTTTATTTTTTCTTTTCCCTTTTTTTTTTTTTTTTTTTTTTTTTCCTTTTTCTTCCTCTTTCCCTCCCTTTTTCCTTTCTTTTTTTTTTTTTTTTGTAAACGATTTAAAAAGGATAATCAACTTTCCTTTAACTACAGCAGTTCAGTATTAGATCTTATGGAGCTGATTATTAAGCATAATGTGCGCTTTAATACTTGAGGACTTGAGTACATAAAAATTCAGCAGTATAGCATCCACTGGGGTTCTTTATAATTCAGTAGTATAGTGGTCCAACAAGTTCTTATTATTCTTAATGTTTCAGTGTAGTTCAGGATTAATTGCACTGTTATATCTGGTACACACCTCCACTCCAAATGTGAAGGTCCAGTTTATCACGTTATCTGCCAGTCACATTTAGCTCTAGTGCTTTCCTCTGTTTCAATATGCAGTATAGCATTCCACTTAGCCACTTTATTTACCAGGCTTCTTAGCAAGCATCTTCTTATATTTAAGCTCGCTTCGGTCCTAATTACACCAGTGATATATTTGACAATGTAACTTCGTTATAGTAGTTTATATGTCATATGGTGCTTTATGAATCACATTGTTTCGGCATTATGTAATATAGTGTTTGCTCAAGTTTCCCCTTTTTTTTTTTTTTTTCAGCTATATGTATGTCGCACAAACTCTTGTTACTTTAATATGACTCAAGCCTCATTGCACTCTTAACTTATTGTGCTCACCTCTGCTCCGGTATGAGATTTCACTCTGCCTTTTTATTTGCCAGGCTTTTTAAAAGATCAACTTCTTTAGATTGGGCATAGTTCCATTACGATTTTCAAACGCACACCATTCCTACGCTCTTTCTTGCTGAGTCGGGAACAAAGTAAATGGAAAAAAAAAACAAAAAAAAAAAACAAATACTGACTTTCCTTCGGTCCCTCAATCCTGTATATTCGACCCACGAATCAAACAAGCCCTTCAACGCGGCTTTAATTACCGCACTTGTTGCACTTGTGGGGGGATAGCATCCGACGCCTGTGTTGTCTCCATTATTTACTCGGCGATCTCACCTCTCCCCCAAATGGGACTCCAGCTCAGCTTAACCCCGCGGTGTGCACGCCACGTTACACGCCCCACGTGTCCCACGTGTCGTCACGTCGTCATCCCCGCCCCCCGCAGAACTCAACTTTTAATCCCATTGTTTCCTTATAAAAGTTTCTCCCATGCAAGGGAGGGATTTACAATAATTGGGACAGTAGCCAATGGAACAATACATCTCCTCCCCTCAGTGTGACACTTAAACCACTTATTTCTGTTACAGCTTTACCCGGTTTCTGGATGTACCCCAAAACTGTGGGGTACAAGGGTCTAAGTGGCACCCCCTGGTAGCCGTGATCTGGGTGGCCAACATACTCAAAATTCACCCAGATCGGACCAGGGGTTCGGGAGTTTTGGGGAATAAACCATTTGACCATTTGACCGCACACGAGGTGGTAGCCGAAAAGGGTGTTTTGGCCCTGCGGTCGGTCTCTGTTCGGGAGGTAAAACATCCACAAATCTTTGCCATCCACTATTAACAACGCATTCGTATGAATCCTCTTTTTCGGTACGCTGAACTCACCGAATCAGGGGCTAATTGGCCCCTCCATTTGGGAGTTACGGAGCTCTGGAGGTCTCAGCAGTGTTCGGGTAATTGAGTGTCCGATTTGAGTTCCAGACACTTGACGACCAAACACCGCTGAGAGTTCATGCGTAAGATGGCCGCCGCCACGTGTTCGCTTATCGAATGGCGGCCACCCAGATATAGTACTAAAGCACTGATTGACTGCGGTTAGAGAAGTGTAAAAGCCTAATGAGGTACACACTTCTCTCTGGGGTGGTCTATTGATTCAGTAGTTTTCATTCGTATGAACATACGAATCCTACATACAATTTTAATTACACAGGAAAACAAACACACAAATTGTCTTTTAAGCATAATCCTGGAGGACAGTCCAGTGCTATCCCCCTGCCAGGCTGCTCTGCTCTACTTGCCAGTGCCAGATGTCCTCAGTCTCTAGGAGTTGAGCAGAATCCAGGGTCATATGCAGCAAGAAGCATGTGTATCCCTACTCCCTGCATCAGGCAACACAGGAGAGAAAAGTGGTCACGATTCGGTTTCCGCTCAGTCTGGTGCAGTACCTCACAGTGCCACTACCTGTCTGTGGTGCTATTCCAGGCTGCTGCACTCAGACTGAGACCTCTCTCTGTTCCCAGCTGGTCTTACTTTGTAATGGTCTTCTCCCTATTTAGCCAAGCCTCATCCAGTTCATTAATGTTAATAATGTTGTTGTTGATCTGGTCCTTTTTGTCCTGTATATTTGAGGTAGTAGTTTCCCTGAGTTCCTCAGCTGGCTGCTTCCCCTGAGTTTCCTGAGCTATTTGCCTCCCTGTATCCAGAGGCCCTGCTTTCCTGTATCCATTCAGTTATCTGTGTTTGTATTTTATTAAACTGTCTTCCTTATAAATATCAATATTTATCAAAATATCAGTTTTGTGCCTTGATTTGTGTCAATGTTGGTTCTTTGCATTCTGGGTGCCAAGCTATAGAGTTTGCTGCACTGGTCAGCACCCCTTTCCCAACCAGACCCTTGACAGCAGGCTGTGACCAATGGCCATGCTCCGCATATATTTCACAAATCGTGCTGGCCACATTGACAGAACAAGCTGTAAAACGGTCTGTGACTCTAGTAAATCAGTTTTTTTTTACTACAGGTTTAAGACACCTGTCCATGTATTCTGATAATCTCTGGAATAGATTCTATCTCCAGTAGACTATCGGTCTACCTGGTTTTGTGTACCTTGGATAAGTGATAGAACTACTGGTATTTTTATTTATTTTTTACCACATGTAGATTTTTCCTTTTCGCTCTTTTTTTAATGTATTTTCTGTTTCTTTTTATATGAATTCAGCGTGGGGAGAGGTGTATCGAATATTCACTTAAAAGAAGGTTCCGGTTGCCACATCAAAAGGCTCTAATAAATGCGAGTTTTCTACACTAGTGTGTTTCTTTTTATTTTCTCTTATATGTATGGTTTCACCCCCCATAACATTTGAGGGATAAGTTACACTGTGTGTATCTGGGTGGGTGGTGGTGGTGTGGCAGTGGGTTCAGGGCCATAGCCCCAAGTCTAGGGCAGTAAAGGATCAGTCAGTGATAACATCATGAGTGACCGTCAGGAGGGGAACGCTGTGCAATGCGCTCCCCTTCCTGTTAGTCACCTCAGACCGACACACTAATGTGTAGGGCCAATCAGTTTGGAAAGCTGCAGTCAATGTAGTGCAAGAGTGTACTTTAAAAGACATTAAAGCAAAGTTAACTTAACTGCAGAAACAAACTATAGCAGGTTAGAGCAGGTTCACTAGATAAAAAACTAAATATAATAAAAACTCCAAAGAGAGGGAGTGTGCAAAGATCAGAAAGTGCTTAAGTGTAACATATTAACAATCTTGATACCTTAACAATCTTGATACATATAGGGATATATCCCAGACCCATAAAAAATACAAAGAGACAGAATATAGTGCAGATGGTAACTGTGCACTTAATTGCTGTACATAGAAATAAGTCATACCACTCACATGTAACAGAGCCTAAATGAATTGGCTCAGTAAGTAATGTTCTTGTACTTTTAGAGTAGCATCTCACCACTCTTCCTGTCTGATAGGACACTCTCAATGTTGAGAAAAGAAAAAGGCAGCCAACGTGTAGTATTTAAAACCACATTTTTTTTCCTTAAAATTAGGGAAGGTATATTGCTCACCTTGTACAGAGCCTAAAATTCTGGCTCTGAGAGTAATAGAGGTAGTGCCAATATAGAAGGGATGGCACAACCCCAATGAAGACTCCTGGAACTTCAGAGGACTTTTAATAGTGCTTGAACAATTTTGTTTAATATTAAAACAAATAAAAACGGACAAAAAAGTGTGGCAGAACCACTGTTCATTCGTGTATTTTCCCCTTTGTATGATGTCTACACCTGAGAGACAAAGGGACAGCGACCCCACTTTCCTGTGCTTTGGCTCCCAGGTATAGAGGATCCTGGGATACGACCCCTGTTTTTTTGTGGTGAAAACCCCTTGCATGGGGCTATGCATAAAAGCCATGTGTGGCTCAATAAAGTTGTGTTGCACTCCTAGAGCTGTGTCTCCTCCAGTTACTGGGGGAAATGGATGCCTGCTTGTTGTAAGGGTTCCTGAGTGGATGAAGAAAGATATGAGCGGAGGTAACCAGTCGGGTTACCCGGGATTTGCTACAAAAGCTAAACACATAATAGTAAATAATAATAAAAATAAATAACACACAAATCTGGAACATGTCCTTAAATGGCCAAAATGTGTTTCACTCCTTCTTGATAGTCCTCAGTCGGCTGTAGTATAGTTCCAGAAGTCCACCATTTTTAAATCCCTTATAGATTCCCCCTTTTGGGTCAAATGGATAATTAGTCCATTAGTCCGCCTTCTGCCCCTTTAAACACAGGTCTTCTATTGTATTTCCCTATACCATGTCCTCATATGTCACTTCCGCCTATTTTCATCCACCTCATTGGTGGACAGCAGTGGTTGGCAGAAGAGCATAGACAGCTTCACGGGGTTGACGGATGTTACGTTGCATGATGCCACATCTGCCTGCATCCTTAGACCATCGCGCATCCTCTGCCATGCAGTCCCCTTACTGGTATATGCACACACACACACACACACACACATATATATATATGCATATATATATTTGTGCTCGGAATTTAAATACGTAATGGATAGTATCTGTGAGCAAAGTTGGTTGTGGTGTGCCAAAACCAACGTACGAGTGGGCCTGTAAATAAAAGAGGGCCCACCAAGGAGAATGTAGTTATAACAGGGTGTAGGTGGGTGGGGACAATCAGCTGAGCGGCAGAGGTGAGTAGGGGCTGGGAGTTTAAGTAGGGGATTTACTCCTCCCACAAATTCAGGCCTAATGGCCTTTCTACTTGTGCTCGGAATTTAAATACGTAATGGATAGTATCTGTGAGCAAAGTTGGTTGTGGTGTGCCGAAACCAACGTACGAGTGGGCCTGAAAATAAAAGAGGGCAAAAGATAAATTAGAGAAAATAGACACTTTATTGCATTTTACAAGACCAAGTTCCTGAAAGCTTGGCGCAGCTCTTTCTCCGGTTGTGGAATATATGCATTATATATGGAGGATTTCCATCGCCCCAGTCTCTTGATGTTGTGGACCGGTGCGTTTGTGCTAGTGGCTGCTGAGGCGGCTCCTATACGGAAGGAGTGCCCGGAGAATGCAGCCGGGTTGTGTCCGAGCTTAGATAACAGAGTTCTGACATGTAACATAAATTTTGCCGTGGTTAGCGGGTGCCCTTGTAGTGTTAAGAGCGGAGAGTCTGGTAGGTGAGCGTGAAGAGTTGACCGTAGTTGGTCTAGAACTTTTACCGGACACCAGGCTTTATCAGTAGGGAAGAGAGGAATTATTGTAGGGTGTAGTGACCGGTTGGTTTTAGTTGTAGGGATCGAAAGTAGGTAGTGATCCTCTATCTTAGTGAGGTGTGAAGTTTTAAGGCTTAGCGTGATATCTCCTTGACAAACCACGG